TCTTGGTATCTTGGTTCAAAATAAGGTAAGGTATTCGATAAACTGCCCCGGGGCATCAATGCTCTGAGGTGTGCCAGTCCCTTGAGTGTCCTTGGCAGATTTGAGCGCACGCCGTTATCGTCCTTGTTAGCAGCTTATATTCGACCACATCGTTGTGCCGCTAAATCCAGGACTATCTCTGATCGGTTTTGGAACGTCCATAATCCGGTCAAGGAAACTGTATCTCGATATCTTAATGGAAAGAATGCAATTATTGGGGGCTATACTACACTCTGCAGCATTGAATTTCACACCTCAGTTCTATTTTTAGATAGCCGCAGTCCCGAACCGTGCACGCTGTCCAACANTCGGATGTGCATTTCAATCGATGCTCCATGAGTGTCGATTGGAGTATCGGCATCATTCCTTTGCTCTCAAAGTGCACAAGTGCAGCAGAGATCTTTCACACTGAGACTTGGTGAATAATCACTTTGTTGAACACTTCGACATCCATGAAAGTACAAGAAGCAATGACGTGATACGATATTTCTTCTACGTGAAACTATGTACAGCATTCCTATTGTCCTTTTGTCCTGACAACTGGGTCTTGTGCGCCAAAGGTGCTATGGGACAAGAAAAGCGCCAAATCGTTATCACTCTCCTAAGCGAAACCTCACCCTGTAGCTCAGGAGCAACCGTTTTGGCTCCCAGCAATAGGGTTCGTGATTCGAGTTCCAGCAGGGACTCAAAACACGACCTTNCACGACCTTGCCGGACGCCTGTCAATAAAACTTCATTTATGTTATCTTCCTCCTGGTATAGGTGTCATTTCAACTCGTGTATTTTCAGAGTCAATTACTTTTCATAAAATTGTATCCGTGCAACTTCAACCTCTCGCATCACGCTGGGAACCCCACAAAGTAATTGGTGCTTCAGCCGTCCCTAAAGGACCGGATCCGAATGAAGTGGTTTCTCCGCAAGCAAACGAAAGTACCTTTCAAGAAAGTTACCGTGCGGTGGTTTTCGGCTCTTGCACTCCCCCTCGGAACGTTATGTCTGCGCTTGCTGATCGGGTGTGCGTAATAGACGCGAATGAACGAACCTGACGGTAATTGACCTAGGTCGACCGGGTAAGGAAGCGAATCACTATGAAATGTTTCGATAAATCGGGTGCCGCGCTCAGACGTGAATGTTGGAATGAATCACTGTATGAGCAGATTTGGTCTAGGCCTTTAAAGACCCAGTGATTAAGTTCATTGAGGCTGTTCTCTTAAAAACACCGATTCCTTTGAACCAAATGCAATCGCCGAAATATTTCTGGCATTGAAAAGCACACTTGACGAGATACTTAGCAGTGGTACAAAGACAGTGAAAGAATTACCAGAATAACACCTGAATGGTAAGATCAAATTCGAACCTATTCACTAGCTAACGGACGTTACATTTTTTCCGTAATTCTCGGATAACTATTACATTCAATCCACAGCAGTCTGTCAGCTGCAGTTTCTCCCTTCGCTACTCAGTTTCGTCGCATATGTTCTCATCATTATTGCACCATTGATCAACCCGTCGCATCTTTTCACATCCTGATTGCATCTGTGCGATCCACATAGTTTGGTGAATGAGACAGATGGTGATCCATGATTCCACAAAAGATGACAACTCGGTACCGGATGCCTCAAGAGGTATTAAGTTCAGATGGGCGAGGTGTTCCACCCAAGGTTGCTTTAATGTTGATTGACAATTTAATCTGCATAAGTAAGGTTACCTCCATTGACGAATTTATGAAGAATCCGGGAAATTTGTTAAAGGGGCACGTGCGGTGCTGCTGAATGTCCGATGAAAGGTTCCGTGGCACCGCAGATCCATTTTGCTGCACACGAAAGATTGTGTACAAACGAGCTATCTATCATGAAGGTGGAAAACAGTGACTTTTTTCTACTCTGAGCTGAGCTGGGCGTTGAAGACAACCCATTCGCTCTTCCGCTTTTGTTTGGTTACGAAGAAATCATTTCATTCGGGCTGGACGGGGTTTAGAAACAGCCGGTCCAAGCGGTGACGTTTGGCGCCCGAACGATCATGTGGGGTTCCCAATGTAATGCCATTGGTTGAATTCAGTTAAAGCTCAAAACGTTTCACTTGAAGTGGAAAAAGCATAATGACCACACCAAATTTTTCCTGATCGATCACAGACCTCAAGCGTTGTATATTAAAACCACAAATGTTTTATTTCATGCCAGTAGCTGCTCAACATGCCATGATTTTTCTTTGTGCAAATGTAGGTTGAACTGCGACAACAAAGAGAATACGCTCCGATATACCTTCATTTACGATCGTTCCTTCAACATCACAACGACTCGGATAAAGTTACGAGAGGGGTTTCGCCTCGGGATAATTTGACGACAGAATCTCAGGCGATTTGTGCATGAAAGCTTTGATTTTGGATCGTTTTAAAGGCTGTGGTAAATTCATTCAACTTTTTTATCAAAATGCAAATATCCATCTCAAGCTTACAAAACAACTTTGAAAAGAAATTTTTCAACTTCGGCATAGAAGCATGAAGTGAATTTAAACGTGGATTGCGATCGGCGTTGATTCTGGGCTTTCATTGTTCTATTGTTCAAAATAAAATAAATCTTTTCACTTGATTTTGTATTTTTTGCAAGGGTGGAGGTGGGTAGAAATAAGCGAGATGAATCGCCCGTGACCAGCGTTCGTGTGCATAAATAAAGGGGGAAACGCCGCCAAACGTCATATGGTATTATATACATTTCACAGACGAGGCTGTACACAAACAGTTCACTTCCGACGTTTGAAGGGTGCCTTCTTACGACCCATGGCTGGCGGGCCGTGTCGTTTTCCACCTGGTTTCTGACCTTTGTGCTTTTTCTTCATTTGCTGCTTCGCACGCAAACGTTTCTGTTTGAGCACCTGTTCCGGGCGTCGCAGCTGACCAAAGGTACGACTACCTTTGGGTTGACGAATCTTCTGCGCTTCCGCAGCGGCTCTAGCCCTTCGATGTTGTTTGGCCTCGGCCCGTTTGACTGGCAGGGATCGAAAAAGCAAAACAAGTCAATTGATCGGACATATTTCAATTATATACTCTACACTGTCGCTTTACAACAGCCACCAAAGTTGATTTGGATCGGGGTTATTGTGGCACTCCCACATTTTGAACCGATGAACTTTTGACGTGACTTGAAACATTCGACTCAGATTGAACATGGTTACCTTGTAGCAAATGTAAATAAAATAACAAGCCTTGGGAATTTGTAGCATTCGGGATGGCAATGGGTTCTTATTGATGTTAGCGAATGAATATATATATATATATATA